TGAGTTACCCGTCCAGACAAAGAAGAAATCTGTTTACTGAGTTACTCCGTCCAGAAAAAGAAGAAATCGGTTTACTGAGTATCCCCGTCCAGAAAAAGAAGAAAATCTGTTTACTGAGTTACTCAGTCCAGACAAAGAAGAAATCTGTTTACTGCGTTACTCCGTCCAGACAAAGAAGAAATCTGTTTACTCAGTTACTCCGTCCAGACAAAGAAGAAATCTGTTTACTCAGTTACTCCGTCCAGACAAAGAAGAAATCTGTTTACTGAGTTACTCAGTCCAGACAAAGAAGAAATCTGTTGACTGAGTTTCCCCGTCCAGACAAGAGAACGTTCTAGGGTGCCAACAGGTAGTTTTTGCTTTTCTACACTGATAATTCTAAATAGTTCAAGTAAAGCATTTGTTACGAAAATATAACCAAGGATGAAAATATATATATATATATGTCTGGACAATTCTAATTACAAAAATGGTATAGACTGTCATTTTACTGTTTCAGAAATAATAATAATAATAACAAATAAATGCGCTATAACATGGACTTAGATATAGATCTATAACATTCCGTGGTCATAACAACGATAAATATGGACATAAAGGTCAGCCGACAATGCTAAGAACTCAGCTGTTTACTCGTAAATAACTCAAAATCAATTCAAAATTCACTCCTTTTACAAGGTTAAATGTTGTGTACAAGTGTTTAGGATGAGTTTTTTGCAGCAATATTAGTAAAGACATAAGGAATTCCCTGGCAAAAATAATTTTACTGGAGCAGGATATGCTAGATAATTCAGTTTTTGAATTGCTGATAGAATATTTGATTAACATTTTTTAAGATGCATTCGGGATCTCTGAATTTGGCAATAGATTTGTTATCTCCTATTTTTTCTGTTCCAGGAACGTGTTTGGTATAAATGTTTATAAGAAATGAGGTTTTAAATATATATCAGTAAAAACAGTGTAGGCCTTACTAATAAGTGTGAAAATAAATTATGTGGTAACAAGAACAACTGACACCGCTCTCGTACGGCCTAGGCCTATACGTAACTATGTTTTTTAACAGTATAATTTAATTTGGGTATATCGGTGTGTGATGCAAGAATAAAGTGAGACCGATTGAGCTCTGAAATGACATTGATGTCGAGTTACACATGCGCAGTCCTTTCCTCTATGGTAATGGCGACATGTGCTCTTAGAGAAACTGGCTAATTTCTCATGCCATGTTAGCCAGAGGGTACCTCTGACATAAAATACAAGACTAACTCCATTGAGCGTATGCAGTTGTGTAGTAAGCTTTTATGGTACCTTTATTTTCGGACGACATTGTTAAAAGGTCGCACAACGGACGTAAACATCGGCTATCGGACAACGTGGCCTGGGTCACGAAAGAGCCTGTTTGACCTGTGGATCAATTGATAAACATATTCACTGTTTTGAAGGATTGGAGGTAGTGTATGCAATATGCCAGTCATAAATCCATACATATAAGAAACCTTTCGTGGGTTGCCAATTTTATTGATATATGTCTGTGCCAACTTCTGAGTTAAAATGGACCAGACTTATTGCATATGGTCATGATCTAAATCGAGGCTGAAGCCTGGCGTGACAATTTATTTGAGGTGTTGTTTACAAATAAATTTGCATTGTTTTTCGACAATTTGTTGTTTTGACACTGATATAAGACTAGTTGTGATAACTGTTATTGCTGAGATTTAGTTGTGCACGTATTTGATCGTCACGACGTGTGTATTGAGGTCGTGAGTAATAAACAGCTGTTCAACAATGGCTGCGGCCGTTGGTACCACGACGAGGAGTGAACACTTTCAGACGGATTCTGCGGAAATGCAGGACCCAGAAAATACAAGAAAGACTTCTGAAGAAAATTCAGATACAAGCGTTTCCCAATCACAACCGACAACGTCAGATAGCACCAGTTCAGACCCTGGGGTATCCGAATCTAATGAAGGGAAAAAAGACTCTGATGACAAATCTCAGTCTAAGGTCAAGAAATTTGACAACAAGAACTTTGTTGAGGCACCACTTCCCAAAACCAATCCATGGAACAAGGGGAAGACTCCGGCAGTCGCAGCACCAAAACCAGTACCTGTTGCTCCGGTAGCTAAGGCACCAGTTCCTGTGCCAGTGTCTCCTGTACAAGCCCCAGTCATTCAGAAAGAAAGTAAGTACATGTGTTAATCATTGTACATGTATGTGAAAAATAACACCTGTCTCTGTGTCAAGAAGATCATGCAAGTCACAGGGACATTTGGTGACTCCCAGGTATTCCCGTATATGTTTCAGGTAATTTGTATGCTTGTTTTCTTACATTTATCATTAGTGTTTCAATATTGTTATTCTAAATCATCTATTAATATTGTTTCTCAAATTGTGGATAGTAATCATGTAAGACAAATATGGTTGGGCATACAGTCTGTCACCTGGGTCAATTAAGAACCTTAGCTAGTTCATTGCCTGTAATGAACACAACACTAGTCTGATGATCAAGGCTAGTAGATATAACGTAAGTGCTAAGTAGCTTATCAATATTGATCATGATGATTTGGGATTGTAATTTAAATAAATTCTAAGTTGCCTTGTTGAGACTGCTAAGAAGTCAAATAATCCATTGAATGTGTAAATGTAAAGCTATGAAAATTTTCAACAATTTTTGATATATAATGGAAAAAATAGATGCATGCCACAGATGGTTATATATGTAGTCCACTAAAACTGACCATAATCGCAGACTCAAAAACTCTGATCGGTCGCCTGTTTATGGTCAGCTATCGACTGCTCTATTAAACACTGGGATTGTCTTCAAAATCTGACGACAGCGATTGTGAGCGTTTTAAATGTTTGTTAGATAATATATTTATACCTTTATTTCAGTTGATTTATTTCTCACTCACTTGACTAGATGTAGATGTCATCGATACATTATGGATGCTACATCATTTTATTCAATTGGAGTGCTTTCGACTGCTCACATCGACAGCCATTTTGTCTTCAACAATAGGGCGCACTAGCCAATCAAAAGTACTTCCGGTTAATTTGATCAAATGTAAACATTGGTTACACATGGTTTTTTTAGCAGACAAAAACTGATTAGTAGTGCTGGGAATCAGTCAAATATTTAAGATCAATAATAGGAACTCCATAATCGATTGATAATCAATTATCGGTTCAAATGACCACATGTGTAACATAAGAGGCCGGCCGATTTATTATCTGATGTAGTTGTGCCGACTAATGAGAAAATACTCGTTTCCAAAATCTAGGCTGAAGGAAGGATTCAATTATATCTCTGTTTTGACTCAAAACTTAATGACAACTAGGTGTTCTCACAGTTTAGGTATTAATTACCCCCATTTGAATGCTCTAATCACTACAACAAAGCATATTAATAATAATTTATCACGAAAATCACTCTGCTAGCTTCATTTTACTAGCTTTCAAATATGGCAGTTTTGGTTGATACAAAATGCAGATGTATATATGTATTATACGTCATGAATACACATGATGCAACAGAAAGCGATTCCGCTTTTTTACCATCTACAATTCCATTTTTAGGTCACCTGAGCTTTAGCTCAAGTGACCTATTGCTATCCGTTTTCGTCCGTCGCCGTCCGTTAACATTTTACATTTCAAACTTAAAGTCAAGTTCTGCTGGGCCGATTGAACTGAAAGTTAATAGGAATGATAGCCTCATGGTCCTGACAAAGTGTTGTTTTTTTTCGGGTCGATCAGAAATCCAATATGGCCGCTACGGCCGCCATTTTGAAAACCTATTTCAAACTTAAAGTCAAGTTCTGCTGGACCGATTGAACTGAAAGTTGGTAGGAATGATCAAATCATGGTCCTGATAAAGTGTTGTTATTTTTCGGGTCAATCAGAAATACAATTTGGCTGCCATGGCCGCTATTTTGCTACTAAGTTCTAATAGGCTGATCTCACTTAAAATTGGTCTAGGAATGATCAGTTCATGGTCCTGACAAAGTTAAGTTAACGTTATACTATTTTTTACTCAAATTGGTACATATTTCAACAACAAAAATAAATACTATAGACTCAGGTGACCGTTAAGGCCCATGGGCCTCTTGTTATATTAACCACCAAATTTATAATGCCGATGCAGATATCGTGTCAGCTTGAATTTAGGAAAGGATTACAATACAATTGAACATAATCGATCTTTCATCAGCAAAATTGATTATTGGATCGGACCCTTTTCAAACTCGAATTAATCGATGTTTTCGATTATCGGTACACCACTACTAATTAGCTCAGATTTATATATATTTATCACATTAATTAGTAGTACAATGTATCAAAATAACTGATATTCCCAGCACTTATCAGCATTATAATTAAGAAAACAACTTGATTGCGATGAAAGAGTAAACTGGTACACATGTTTTTGATGTCAACAAGTCCAATTGACAGAAGCAATTCTGATTGGCCATTGGCCAATACATATTGATGTACGTAAGATGGCTGTCAATGTGAGCAATCGAAAGCACCTCAATTGAATAAAATGATAAAGCGTCCATATTGTATCGAGCACGGACATGATATCTAGTCAAGTGAGTGAAAAATGAATCAACTGAAATAAAGGTATAAATATTTTCTCTAACAAACATTTAAAATGCTCAAAATTGCTGTCATCAGATTTCGACGACAATCCCCTGTATTTTATAGAGCAGTCGATAGCTGACCATAAGCAGGCGACCAATCAGAATTTTTGAGTCTGCGATTATGGTCAGTTTTAGCGGACTAGGTAATATATATGTTGTGTTAGATTTAAGGGTGATATGATTAAAAATCATACTTGATTTACTACATTATTTTCCTTAGTCTGGTTCATGCTTTCTTTTTTTACTTTTAATCTGACAAAATTGAAGTTTTGTTGTGTTGTAAATTGTACGTTATGCTACAATCATCAATATTATGTCAGATGAGATTGGTTGAATGTAAATAATCAGTTTTTTTCAAATTGTTTTTTTGGGTTTCAAAATCAGAGTTGCATGTGTTTACAGTACAGGTGCCAACCAACCATGATAAAGAAAGAAATCTTATTTTGCAGATTTCTGTGTATTGGCAATTATATTTCAAACTACAGGAAATCATTGAAGATCTATCTCTTATTAATCTAAGGATAATTACTAGTTTGTCTATTGCATGGAAATATATATATATCATTATAAAACCAACACAACATTTCAATGTCTGAAGGACCGTGGTGAGCTTATGCCGTGGCGCAGCATCCGTCGTCAACTTTTTCTTAAAACCTATCTCCTCCTAAACGCCATGGAGGATTTCAACCGAATTCAGTCTGAAGCATCAGCAGGGAAGGGCAATCATTTCTTAAATAAATGAGGTTGGTTCGACCCCTGAGGTTAGGGGGGCGGGGCCCTGAAGGGGAACTTAGCTAAATCTGCTTTAAAACACAGCATCTCCTCCTTAACGCCAGATAGGATTTCAACCAAATTTAGTCTGAAGCATCACTATGGGAGAGCAATCATTTCTTAAATAAATAAGGTTGGTTCGACCCCTGAGGCCAGGGTGGCGGGGCCCTGAAGGGGAACTTAGCTAAATTTGCTTTAAAACGCATCTCCTCCTAAATGCCAGAGAAGATTTCAACCAAATTTGCTCCGAAACTTCATTGGGGGACGGCAATCATTTCCTTAATAAATGAGACTGGTTCGACACCTGGGGCTAGGAAGACCGGGCCCCAAACAGGAAAATTGTCGCTTATAAAATTAGACGCTAATACCCCCTAATTGCCTTAGTGGATTGTACAAAATTTGGTCAAAAACATTATTGAGGAAGATTAACAAACATTTCTTAGTTGAATGAGGTTGATTTGACCCCTGCAGTCTTAAGAAATGGTACAGCTAGATTATCATATTCTATGGTGTAGTTTTCATAAATTGTTAAAAATTGATTTCTAGGTTTATAAAAGCTTATAGTTGAATGAAAATTAAAGTATTGTCTAAGTACACCATGTAAATTGACATATTACTTATTTCAAAATCTGTTAACATGGCAACTCAATGGAGGCCCCTGATTAGTTGAAAGTCAGATAGTGTGGTCCCAGTTGGGTTAGAACATAGATCTTGTCTGGTTTTGAGGAAATTTCATATAAAGATGTACTAATGCATTCAGTTGTAATGACTTAAATATAAAACCAGGTGAGTGATACAGGTCAAACTGACCTCTTGTTAAGATGTCTGAATCTGTTCAATAATCAATTAGGTGTTTCCCTTATCTAACAAGAAGTAATGATTCATTCATAATTGTTTTAAAGAAACATATCATTACATCTTTATACTTTATATTAGAAGAGGAACTGATGTAGTATCCCCTGCTTCATCTTTCTTGCAGAAGCCGAAGTATTACTAAAAAATGTGAGAGTTTCTTGATTTCCCTTCTCCCGTGTAAGATCAAGAAATGTATCATTTGCACTGAATTTTTAAAGTTACAAAGTTAGTAACACAAATAAAAAATGAGATCAAAATTGTAAGGATTACCTCCCTTCAACCATCAAACAGTTTATCTGTCCGTGTTTTTGTAACCTAAATTTTGCAACAGCCTGCTCCTTTATCAACTGGNAGTTTTTGGTCATTTTGAGAAAATAAGGCACTTTTCAGATAGGGGAAACAACGTGGAGTCTGTTCATTTATGCGGAACAACCGGTTTGTCAAATTATAAATGTAACAATTTCGGGTATAAATGTTGGCGGCCTGCAAATGTTTATGCAGGCCTTGCAAGGCTTTGTCAAGGCTCGTCTGAAAGCAGCATCAGATTACTAGGTCCGATCTAATTTAATAAACGAACAAATGTGGTCTGACCAGTTCAACTGTTAAAACGAAAACGGCCCTGTTATTCAGCAGTAAAATTCAGCCAAAAAATGTCGCTGTCTGTAATAGTCCCAGCATTGAACCAGCTTGAAAGTGAAGATGAGCAACAAATCCAACATATCAACTGGAAAGTAACTTTTCTCTCGTAATACTTTGAGTCATATCTGCTGCCTTCAACTCCTGTCGGTACAGATGTTAGTACGGTATATCTAGCAAGAGATGTGCTTCAAAGTGTTAATCATTCTTCATGGTAATGAAAACTCTGCAATATCTACACACTATTGTTCTTATGAAAATTGATCATTAAACTTTGTCAATTAATCAGTTTAAGTTGCCTAAATTGAGTTTGTTCAAACAAATAACTCTGACCAATAATAATAGCTGGCATGTCATTTTTGAATATGTTTGAATAAATAATTCGGACCAATAATAATAGCTGACATGTCATTTGTGAGTTTGTTCGAATAAATAATTCAGACCAATAATAATAGCTGACAATTTCACTGTGTTTATCTTGCATTTCGATGTTTTCTAAACTTCAGAGGTTTTTTTACATATTTTATAGAGAGAAATAATCCAAGTACATTATATGTACTGCAATATGTTAGTCTTTATATCCTTCCCCCATACTGATACAGTAAACTCTGAACGGCAATCTATCTGCTGCAAAATGCTGCATTCTTCTATATATATATAGCGAACGATCTAAAAAAAATATGTTTTTATTCTATATATATATGTATTGACGCAACATATGTTCTATTCACATAAACATTTATATTTGTAATCCATTGCAATAAGTAAATTAAACATTTAAACATTTAAAAATGAGAAAATTGAACAGCGTTCATTTCATTTTATTAATCTTCAATATGATGAATTGTCTAAATAACGTTTATTTGTGCTGACCGAAAAATGCCCTTGGGCCATGTAATATACTTTTGAGAAAGACACTGAGCTACATGTAGCAGGACAGGAAATGAGTCCATATAATAAAGCTAGCATATGTTCATTGATTTGTTAGTTTCGTATCCTCTGTCCTGGACTTGCGTGCATATACACATTGTGTTAGGTGGTGATACGTTGGTGTTGTGTGTGGGTGTGGCTGCAGTCGGTAGCAGTTTAAAGTATCACCAACATATTGTGACAGGTGTTCTGCTACTTTCCTTGCTCTGTTGGCTGGTGACAGTCTGAACTTTGGTGGCGATGGATATAACTTACAGGTAAACATATGGCCCAGGAAAGTGGCATCATTCTTGTGGTGGCAACATGTGGTATCCTATTTTCTCCGGAGTTTCATTTAATTAATGATTCAATTTGGCCGGAAGCTACAATGCCCAGTGTTCGAATCGTAGTTTGTAACAAAGATCTGTTTGGTATATTAATTTGATTATTTGATGGAAAATTTGATTGTATGACCTTGTAACTTACGGGACATACATACATGTATGTGTGTATTATAATTATATACACACCTATATTTTTACCTGATGTACAGCTCAGGTGTATTGTTTTAGACATGACATGTCAGTCAGCATATGGAAGGTCATATGTCATTCCAAAATTGCTTCATATTATTTATAGACATCGTACGTGTATTAAACTTGTTTTACAGTATGTTGCGATTTCTCCCCATCCACCCCCACCCCTCAAAAACAGAAGGAAAAAACTCTTTATTCTCAGTATGACTTGATACTATCATGACAAATTTTAAATGCAAGTTTTAGTGTTTTGAATGTTGAAGCCTGGCAGTATTAAGTAACAGGTGAACATAACTGTCATCTGGAAAACATTTTGAATAGATAGAATAGATAGTACACACATAGATTGACTATATATGGTATCTGTCTAACAGGAGAGGAAGTTATGTCAATGGTACACAAATTGCTGCTTATACTTGAAACATTTGTTTCTCAGTGTACATGCGAGTTGCTACTTTTTAACCTCACCTGGCATTGGGCCAAACACAAAAGTGTTTGTTTATGTTTGGCATTGCAAAACATTTGGTAGGTAGGAAAGACATTTTATTTGTCAATTGTATAAGGTTTATATATTTATAAGTGTGATTTTGACTTAACAGTGCTTCCTTGAAAATTGTCAAAATATAAGGGTACATGTTAAGGCATGTACCGGTACAGTATATATACAAGGCTTAGAAAAGTAATATTTGTCTCATGGTTCACTCACAAAAAGTATTGATAGATAGCTATAGGTGAATACTTTGTTTGTAACTTATTTTTATACAGGTTATAGAGTAGGAATTCAAAAAATGGGGGTTGGAGCTAGGGAAACCAGCATCCTTGAAATTTCAGGGGTTATGTATACGCTCTCTTACGCTTCTCTGAAACTTTGGACTATGTTATGACGAAATTGAAGGCTCTACATGCGCCACCTTGTGGATGATACAAGTAGACTTTATTTTAATCCTTTGATGTACAACATTTTTTTTAATGAGGTATGTTTATTATGCAGTTAATTAGAATGATAATAATTTAAGGTTCTTATATATACTAAAAACATCATGCAGTACAAATATTGAGGTTAATGAATTAACAGTTATAATTGTAATAATACATAGCAATAATACATAGCATTAAATGACCATGGCAGTTGATAGGACATTAAACCCTTTACAAACCACACGTTTATATAGAGGCCTTTTTAGTTTTGTACTCTAAGATGTCTTCTGTAGATAGACAGTGTTTAACTCGAGTCATAAAGTTGAAAAGTACATAATTCAAATTGTTTTGTTATCACATTTCATGTCAAATGGTTTATTACTCCGTATGAACTTGTACATACTCTATTAAATAGAAATATTATTTATGAAGACACATCACTTCTATGTAATGGTGGAATGTGCAATACAAATATATAGAAACAAAGATAACAAAGAATTTATCCTGTGTTCCATAACTTATTGACAATAAAAAAAGTTGCATGCATCATCCATTGTTTGTTAATCATGATAATGTATATTTACCAAAGGAGCTAGGAAAGACGTATGCATGTTTCATAATTAAGAACTGTTGATTTTGATCCTGGCTATGTTACTGATGGTGTTTGTTGTATTTTCAGATCAGTCCTTGGAGCCCAAGTCAGTAAATGAGACAACAGAGACTACGGAGACCACAAAACCAAAAGTTACCACACAGGTAGGGCTCACTTACATAGCAACAATACAGGTAGGGCTCACTTTCATAGCAACAATACAGGTAGGGCTCACTTACATAGCAACAATACAGGTAGGGTTCGCTGACCTAGAAACCACACAGGTAGGGCTCACTTACATAGATACAATACAGGTAGGGCTCACTTAGATAGACACACAATACAGGTAGGGCTCACTTACATAGCAAAAATACAGGTAGGGCTCACTTACATACCAAAAATACAGGTAGGGCTCACTTACATAGCAATAATACAGGTAGGGCTCACTTACAATGCAACAATAAAGGGAGGGCTCACTTACATAGCAACAACACAGGTAGCGCTCACTTACAATGCAACAATACAGGCAGGGCTCACTTACATAGCAAAAATGCAGGTAGGCCTCACTTACATAGAAAGAATACAGGTAGGGCTCACTTACATAGCAACAATACAGGTAGGGCTCACTTACATAGCAACAACACAGGTAGGGCTCACTTACAATGCAACAATACAGGTAGGGCTCACTTACATAGCAACAATACAGGTAGGGGTCACTTACATAGCAACAATCCAGGTAGGGCTCACTTACCTAGCCACAACACAGGTAGGACTTACTGACCTAACAACAACACAGGTAGCAGGTAGGGCTCACTTACTTAGACACAATACAGGTAGGGCTAACTTACATAGCAACAATCCAGGTAGGGCTCACTTACATAGACACAATACAGGTAGGGCTCACTTACTTAGACACAATACAGGTAGGGCTCACTTACATAGCAAAAATACAGGTAGGTCTCACATACATAGACGCAATACAGGTAGGGCTCACGTACATAGCAACAATACAGGTAGGGCTCACTTACCTAGAAACCACACAGGTAGGGCTCACTTACCTAGCCACAACACAGGTAGGGCTCACTTACATAGCAACAATACAGGTAGGGTTCGCTGACCTAGAAACCACACAGGTAGGGTTCACTGACCTAGACACAACACAGGTAGGGCTCACTTACATAGCAACAATACAGGTAGGGCTCACTTACCTAGAAACCACACAGGTAGGGCTCACTTACCTAGCCACAACACAGGTAGGGCTCACTTACATAGCAACAATACAGGTAGGGCTCACTTACATAGCAAAAATACAGGTAGGGCTCACTTACATAGCAAAAATACAGGTAGGTCTCACATACATAGACACAATACAGGTAGGGCTCACGTACATAGCAACAATACAGGTAGGGCTCACTTACATAGACACAACACGGGTAGGGTTCGCTGACCTAGAAACCACACAGGTAGGGCTCACTGACCTAGACACAACACAGGGAGGGTTCGCTGACCTAGACACAACACAGGTAGGTTTCGCTGACCTAGAAACCACACAGGTAGGGCTCGCTGACCTAGACACAACACAGGTATGGGTCACTGACCTAGACACAACACAGGGAGGGTTCGCTGACCTAGACACAACACAGGTATGGCTCATTGACCTAGACACAACACAGGTAGGGCTTGCTGACCTAACAACAGCACAGGTATGGCTCACTGACCTAACAACAACACAGGTATGGCTCACTGACCTAGAAACCACACAGGTATGGCTTTCTGACCTAGACACAACACAGGTAGGATTTGCTGACCTAGACACAACACAGGTATGGCTCACTGACCTAGACACAACACAGGTAGGGTTCGCTGACCTAGAAACCACCCAGGTAGGGCTCACTTACATAGCAACAACACAGGTATGGCTCACTGACCTAGAAACCACACAGGTATGGCTTTCTGACCTAGACACAACACAAGTAGGGTTTGCTGACCTAACAACAACACAGGTATGGCTCACTGACCTAGAAACCACACAGGTATGGCTCACTGACCTAACAACAACACAGGTATGGCTCACTGACCTAACAACAACACAGTTAGGGCTTGCTGACCTTACAACAACACAGGTATGGCTCACTGACCTAGAAACCACACAGGTATGGCTCACTGACCTAACAACAAGACAGGTATGGCTCACTGATCTAACAACAACACAGTTAGGGCTTGCTGACCTAACAACAACACAGGTATATGGCTCACTGACCTAGAAACCACACAGGTAGGGCTTGCTGACCTAACAACAACACAGGTAGGACTTGCTGACCTAACAACAATACAGGTAGCTAGAGCTTATTGACCTAACAACAACACAGGTAGGGCTTGCTGACCTAACAACAATACAGGTAGCTAGGGCTTGCTGACCTAACAACATAGGTAGGGCTTGCTGACCTAACAACAATACAGGTAGGGTTCGCTGACCTAGAAACCACACAGGTAGGGCTCACTGACCTAGAAACCACACAGGTAGGACTTGTTGACTTCACAACAACATAGGAAGGCCTTGCTGACCTAACAACAACACAGGTAGTGCTTCCTGACCTAGAAACAACACTGATAGGACTTGCTGACCTAGCCACAACACAGGTAGGACTTGCTGAGCTAGAAACAACACATGTAGGACTTACTGACCTAACAACAACACAGGTAGGACTTACTGACCTAGCCACAACACAGGTAGGACTTGCTGAGCTAGAAACAACACATGTAGGACTTACTGACCTAGCCACAGCACAGGTTCAATTAGCTGACCTAGAAATAACAGGTAGGAGTGGCTGAACTAGCCACAGCACAGGTAGGTACAGATTTGCTGACGTAGAAACCACACAGGTAGGACTCCCTGACCTCATGGAGATTGTGTAAGGTGACCCATGTTGGTCACTACAGGAATGTGTCATTTCCCCAATTTAGAAGAATCAGGTGTATTGCATGTGCATGGGGCTAAACAATATTATATGAATGCATTTTAACAAAAAATTGAATACTTGATTGATTGCTAGCATATTTTTGTCACAATAAACTTAATGTTTATGTTTGCTTATTAAATAGAGATTTGATTTAATCTCCGTACCAGCTGTGAGCTAGGTTAGAACATACATAACTGATGTACATAGCTTTTGTAAGCAGTGTACATTTAGCTTGAACTGTAAAGTAATGATGATGGAATTTCTTAGCTTTTTCTTCGTATAAAATAACCTGTTGACACATTTTTGGATAGATATTGTCTGTAATACAGGACATTCAGCCACCATAATCTTTGTTCTTTGTTCGATGTAACTATTAATAATTACTGTGTAATATATAAATTAAAATATTTTTAACACAATCATTTCCATAAGCTTCCCCATATCAATGTTCAATACATAAACCCACAGGCTGATATAGGTGTTTCCAGTGTGTAAAGGGCATATATATGTTAAGGTTTTATTAACCTATCAAAGACATTTGATGGTTTTCAATTCAGGAAGACATTGATGATCCAAAAGACAGTTACAAAAAACAAAAGACAGTTACAAAACCAAAGACAGTTACAAAACCAAAACCAAAGACAGTTACAAAACCAAAGACAGTTACAAAACCAAAGACAGTTACAAAACCAAAGACAGTTACAAAACCAAAGACAGTTACAAAAAACCAAAGACAGTTACAAAACCAAAGACAGTTACAAAACCAAAGACAGTTACAAAACCAAAGACAGTTACAAAACCAAAGACAGTTACAAAACCAAAGACAGTTACAAAAACAAAGACAGTTACAAAAAACCAAAGACAGTTACAAAAAAACAAAGACAGTTATAAAACCAAAGACAGTTACAAAACCAAAGACAGTTACAAAACCAAAGACAGATACAAAACCAAAGACAGTTACAAAAAACCAAAGACAGGTATAAAACCAAAGACAGTTACAAAACCAAAGACAGTTAAAAAACCAAAGACAGTTAAAAAACCAAAGACAGTTACAAAACCAAAGACAGTTACAAAAAACCAAAGACAGTTACAAAACCAAAGACAGTTAAAAAATCAAAGACAGTTACAAAAAACCAAAGACAGTTACAAAACCAAAGACAGTTACAAAAAAAACACCAAAGACAGTTACAAAACCAAAGACAGTTACAAAACCAAAGACAGTTACAAAACCAAAGACAGTTACAAAACCCCAAAGACAGTTACAAAACCAGTTTTCTTTTTGAAAGAAAGATGTTTCTTGAAATGACTTTTTGAAGTAGAAAACAATTATTCTTGATATTTTTGCACACATTACTAAGAGTGTATGAAATGTATTTGTGTGAACAGAAGTCGTTACCCTTGTCAATTTTAAACAATTTTAAGATTTATGTACAATGTTTACATTACCATTTTACATGGTATTATTAAACATCGTACATAAATCTTAAAATTGATGTACATAGATGCACCTATCTATGACACTATGTTACGATGTTGATTGGTATAATTCTAATGACATCACATTGCTGGATGATATTCAATGGGATTATACAGAAAAATGAGGTCTATTCACTGTCATGGAAGTTAGCAATCCTGGGATATATGTGTACGTACCAAAACCTGGCACATCCTCAAATGACCATAGCTGTTAATAGGACAAATTATAACAAACCAAACCAATTACAACAAATTATGACCAAGTGTTAGTCCTTAAGGATGTACTCCTCTGAGGTTTCAATCACGTTCAAGTCTCGTTTTGATCTGGTGTAATGGGTTTTTGTAATATTTAACAAATTATGATCAGGTTTATTAGCATACACGCACCTGAAAAAGATGTCAAAAAACTAGATGCCTGTTGTTTGTAGAACTTTTTTTACAAGGATTTAAAAAAATTACCAATTCGGCGGCCATTTTGAAAATGTGTATTAATGTGTATTTCTTGCTCTTCAAAAAAGGCCAAAATTTCACCTTTTTTGACACTAGATTGGTCACTTCAATTGTCATTGTGTCGCCATTTTTAGGTCACCTGAGCTTTAGCTCAAGTGACCTATTGCTATCCGTTTTCGTCCGTCGTCGTCCGTCGTCCGTTAACATTTTACATTTCAAACTTAAAGTCAAGTTCTGCTGGGCCGATTGAACTGAAAGTTGGTAGGAATGATCGCCTCATGGTCCTGACAAAGTGTTGTTATTTTTCGGGTCGATCAGAAATCCAATATGGCCGCCACGGCCGCCATTTTGAAAACCTATTTCAAACTTAAAGTCAAGTTCTGCTGGACCGATTGAACTGAAAGTTGGTAGGAATGATCGCCTCATGGTCCTGACAAAGTGTTGTTATTTTTCGGGTCGATCAGAAATCCAATATGGCCGCCACGGCCGCCATTTTGAAAACCTATTTCAAACTTAAAGTCAAGTTCTGCTGGACCGATTGAACTGAAAGTTGGTAGGAATGATCGCCTCATGGTCCTGACAAAGTGTTGTTATTTTTCGGGTCGATCAGAAATCCAATATGGCCGCCACGGCCGCCATTTTGAAAACCTATTTCAAACTTAAAGTCAAGTTCTGCTGGACCGATTGAACTGAAAGTTGGTAGGAATGATCGCCTCATGGTCCTGACAAAGTGTTGTTATTTTTCGGGTCGATCAGAAATCCAATATGGCCGCCACGGCCGCCATTTTGAAAACCTATTTCAAACTTAAAGTCAAGTTCTGCTGGACCGATTGAACTGAAAGTTGGTAGGAATGATCGCCTCATGGTCCTGACAAAGTGTTGTTATTTTTCGGGTCGATCAGAAATCCAATATGGCCGCCACGGCCACCATTTTGAAAACCTATTTCAAACTTAAAGTCAAGTTCTGCTGGACCGATTGAACTGAAAGTTGGTAGGAATGATCGCCTCATGGTCCTGACAAAGTGTTGTTATTTTTTGGGTCGATCAGAAATCCAATATGGCCACCACGGCCGCCATTTTGAAAACCTATTTCAAACTTAAAGTCAAGTTCTGCTGGACCGATTGAACTTAAAGTTTGTAGGAATGATCGACTCATGGTCCTGACAAAGTGTTGTTATTTTTCAGGTCAATCATAAATCCAATATGGCCGCCACGGCCACCATTTTGAAAACATATTTCAAACTTAAAGTCAAGTTCTGCTAGGCCGATTGAACTGAAACTTTGTAGGAATGATTGACTCATGGTCCTGACAAAGTGTTGTTATTTTTCAGGTCGATCAGAAATCCAATATGGCCACCACAGCTGCCATTTTGGTAAACTATTTCAAACTTAAAGTAAAGATCTACTTGGCCGATTGAACTGAAACTTTGTAGGAATGATCGAATCATGGTCCTGACAAAGTGTTGTTATTTTTCGGGTCAATCAGAAATACAATTTGGCTGCCATGGCCGCTATTTTGCTACTAAGTTCTAATAGGCCGATCTCACTTAAAATTGGTCTAGGAATGATCAGCTCATGGTCCTGACAAAGTTAAGTTAACATTATACTATTTTTTACTCAAATTGGTACATATTTCAACAACAAAAATAAATACTATAGACTCAGGTGACCGTTAAGGCCCATGGGCCTCTTGTTAATTGTAGCAGGTTCAATTTTGCTGTACAACTTTATAATGTTCAATATGATAAAAATAATATGCAGGAAACTGGAAAATTATACATTATTTATATATTTTTTTTACGTATTTAGTGTTACTGAAGCACTTTTGATTTTTGACCCCGAAAAAGGTAAAAAAATAACACAAATGATAATGGGACAAAAAAAGAAGCACACTGACCCCCCATTTTTGTAGATGTTTTAGAAAGAGAAACACATTTTCATTTCATTCATTAAATATTAAAAAAAGTTTAATACCAGAACTTTTTCTATCAAGCATTTTATCTGCAAAAAATGGCTTTCTGAGTTAAGAGCATAAGATTAAGAAATTTTACTTCCATAAATTAAAAGAAAATAATATTTTCATCAATTCTACAAACATTCATACATATCTGATAACACACTTGGAAAAAATTGTATGAATTTGTTCTGCAAATGGTCAAAACCCAAAAAATCACCTAAAATCACATGTTGTGTTAAATTGGTATCTTTGACCGATCATAGCGCTAAAACGAATACACGGACATATATTTTTTTGGGCATTTTCTGCTATGCCATTAACTCCTTTTTCCAAAAATCCATGTAAGAAAAAAAGTTTAATACAGGAAATTTTTGACTTCTCAGAGGTGTACATTCTTAAGTGGTCCTTGATAGTTGCCTGTGGCTTACAGATATAGTTGTATTAGGTTCTGAAATCAGAATTATTCATTCTAATATAGTTACAGAAATATAATAGTATTCCTAGGTGAATGGGTCAAGTTTTAACATACTTGAATTAACTATAAATAGACTTATATGTTATACAGTAGAGTGTTGAACTAGGATGTTTTGTCGGTAGTTCCTAAAATAGATGACCTTAATAGATGGAGACTAGATACACAGTGTCATCCTTCCATTTTCTTGTTGTAATAATGACGCACACTTGTCTTTCAGAAACAGGCATAATGATGCACACTTGTCTTTCAGAAACAGGCAGGCATTCTACTTACAGTCTAGCTGATTATCTATAACAAGCAGCAGAGTTTCACTACAGATTTCCTTTATGAATCCCTGTACCACTGCCAGAGCTGCAACAATGCAATGGATAGCTATTTCCAGCATCACAATGGCCTTGATAAATAATTTCTGAAATGAAATGCATAACTTGTGGAACTTTTAAGGTGGAAAATTAATATTGTTTTGATTGTGCATTAGAGACATATCAAGATTTGAGCCCTTGTCGTTAGATCATTCTGTACTGTGTCTCTCACCAAGTGAGCTACCTAATCTTCGGAAAAATACCAGTCAAATTAGGCTTAAGTTTAATCTGAAATTAAATGTAGATTATGTTACTGTATGTTCAGAAAACTGCAGCAGAATTCTCTAATGATTTGCCTCAGGCAGGATAGGGATCCTTATTGGCTGTGTCCCTCAACCAATTTATAGTATTTGCTGTTATAGCCATGAAAAATTAATTAAAAAAAAATGTCCGTTTCTTACTTCTGAAAACATTCCAGTATATTATTATAGAGTTGGAAAAAAAATGGATCGGAGTATAATGAGCTGTATTTCGTGAGCTAAAGAAAACAGATGGAAGTTAAGATTAGGATACTGTGATCATTATAGAATATATTACTTAATGTGTAAATGATCAAACTGGGCATGGTAAGCTTGTGTTTTATGTATGCTTTCCCTGTCATTTCAGAAATCACTGCCATTAAGTGATGAAAACTGGCCTGCTCTCAACGAAACCACTGAGGTAAGAAAAGAGAAAGATAATCCTTAATTTATGCCCAGCCAAGAAGTGTTTCAGGGCATGTGTTACGGAAGTTGTCCTCTCGTACATAAGTTTGTCTGTTTCAGTTTATGTGTTTTGTTGAGTTACGAACTAAGTATTACAGCTAAGATTGCACAAATTCACATGTAAGCTCTCTTCTATGAGTACAGCATTGTTACATGACTTTTTGTATTCTTGACCTTTGACCTTAGCCTCTGACATTTCTTTGTAATTCGTTCTTTATTGTGAAATTAAAGCTGGGCATCGATACAGACACATTTCTGATATCTTTAATACGATTCATCAGTTTGAAAATATGTAATATCAAAGTTTTACTTTCTACTTGTTTGTACAGAAAGTAAATCTTTGATATTGGACACATTTCTAGTTATCATATTCTGCTATACAAGAGTTATCAAGTCTTGATATTCATCATTCAATGTGAGGTAACCCATCAAGTTTAATACAATATCATGAGATACATTTGTTTAAAAGTTCGTCTTCTGTCTCAAATATCCAGTGGAGTGTAAAAATGTTCTTATGAGAGATGTCATGCATAAGACAACATGAAATATATGCTGTTTTGATGTGAAGTGAGAGGTGTAAACATTCAAGGTGTGTGAGACTATTTGCCATCTTGATACACTTCCATAAGAAAGGAACCTACAATCTTTGGTTTATATTTTAATGAAAATTCATATTTTGTAAAAATGGCATTGTTTACCCACCAAATAAAATAAACCCAGCTTTCAGTCTGCACTGCATGAGTCATATGATGCAAGAGGAAACCGATTTAAAAAAAAAAAAAAAGCCAAAATAAGTGATAGGAATACAGCTTTGATATGACAAAGATAACGGTTTTTGTTTATCCTGCACATGTATTTATGACCAAAAAAAATATTGATGTTTTTCTTCAAAATTTGATGAAAACCCCCAACAAAATGATTGCAACTGCAGATGAAATCCCTTTTGTATTTCATGTAAGAAGATCTGTATATCATACTGATGATTACTGAATCTGATTGTAGTCCCCTGGCACAAAGAAACCCGTACCAATGAAGTCTCTGCCAGGCTTACCACAGGCCCAACAGCCCCTTCCTACCCAGCAGGCACCACCCACACAGGTGGATTCAGGAGGGGACGACTCTGCCAAAGAGAACAAAGAGAATGCAGAGGCACAGAAAACACCAAAGAACAGGAAAGGAAAGAAAGGTAAACTTTTGTTGTAGAGACTTCGAATATTAACTTTTGATGAGAAAAATGTGCATTGAACTGAAAACAAAATTATGGTGGAACTTGATTATCATGACAGTTGTTAACAGGATACTGTTATTTTTTGGGGGGGGGGACAACTTTCATTTTATTTGTAAACTAGATGTCTGTCAAAAGTAGGTGTATTCTGAACTCCTCTGACTTGACAGTATGTCTGTCAAAAGTAGGTGCATTCTGAACTCTTCTGTCTATATGTACATCAAATAAAGTAGGCCGAGTTCCTAGGTAAATTTTCAGTACGAGAAATTGTGTACAATGTTACCTCTGTGCTACAGAATCAAAACAAAAGTGGGTACCCTTGGACATAGAGCCTCCAAAGTCTGGGAGGCGAAGCCGAAGTCAGGGGAGACTACCCCCACGACGTGATTCAGCCAAAGTCCAGGAGAGGACAGTCAGGGGAGGCGATAAGAGAGATGAAACGCGTGGAGAAAACAGTAAGTGAATCTTAAAATAATAAATCAGACACGAACAATTTATGCTTAAACAATATTGAGAATTGGTGCGTTAAGTTGTTTGCATCAAACTTCTTTCCCTGACTTTGAGTTACCTCCCTTATACCAGTTTGAAATCTATCGAGTTCCACACACCTAGTTAATATTCACACTTGCATCACTTTTCATTTACACAAAAGATATATATATATAGACTTATCAATTTCATACTTTATAAAAAGTACACCTTCAAAAGAAAATGCTACAAAAATACTTTTATTTACACAGCAGACATACACCTACACTACAGATTTATATTTACAAAAGAGATTTACACATCATGTTGATGTTTCTATACATATTCATATTTCCTTTATTATTATGCGTTTAAAATTACTGACTAGCAGTATAAAATATGGAGCATTCTCATTTCATTTTGATCTGAAATTTAATGCTCTCCTGCATAGTTGTAAAACTTAGTAGAGCCATACAGTTTCTTATTGTTCTGCGTGTAATTTCAAATACAATGGTTGTAGGGTTTGCTTATGTGTCAAGCTGTACACTCGATTAAATATCTACCCACCAAACCTTTGGCAAGATTTGATACAGTGTGGTGAGCTTCTGTCCACAGCATGGTTTCAGCATGATAACTTCCTTAAATATCATTCAATTTTGATGAAATGCAATGTCAATAAACAAAGACTAAGACTAGTTTTACGTTTGAGTAAAATCCCAGAGTAGTAAGTACTACTCTGGAATTCCATTATTAGTCACCGCTGGGGGAACCCCAGATGGGACTATTAATTTTGGTTTCAGTCCCAGATTTTGACATCTGTTGCTTTTCACTAAAAATGCTTTCGTGTGTTTGCTTCTGTCGGATTATACCAGCTCTTAGTGAAAGTATGAGTATACTTCGGACATCGTTGTGTTACAGGGATCCAAGGTCAAGGCCAAGGTCACACTTGCTATATATAGAAAATCATCAACTGATTCAATTTAAACACTTAGCAATTTCATTCTTTCATGGATTTTGGTCAAACTTTATGCAAAGGTCAAGTATGAGTACAATTTCATTCTTTCATGGATTTTGGTCAAAATTTATGCAAAGGTCAAGTATGAGTATACTTCGGACATTGTTGTGTTTCAGGGTTCCAAGGTCAAGGCAAAGGTTACGGTTGCTATATATATAGAAAATTATCAACTGATTCAATTTAAACACTTAGCAATTTCATTCTTTCATGGATTTTGGTCAAACTTTATGCAAAGGTCAAGTATGAGTACAATTTCATTCTTTCATGGATTTTGGTCAAAATTTATGCAAAGGTCAAGTATGAGTATACTTCGGACATTGTTGTGTTTCAGGGTTCCAAGGTCAAGGCCAAGGTTACGGTTGCTATATATATAGAAAATTATCAACTGATTCAATTTAAACACTTAGCAATTTAATTCTTTCATGGATTTTGGTCAAACTTTATGCAAAGTGTAGTACCTTGTGTGTGTGCATGTTTCAGGGTATCAAGATCAAAGTGGTTGTAATTTTTTTTATAGAATACTGAAACTAATTTCACATGGCAGCGGGGGACATTTATGTCTTACAGACATTTTCTAGTTTAAAGGAAAAATGAAGTGCCAAGAAAGGAGTGGACACGATACTCAAGAACAATCCAAAACCAGTGTTTGGTCGCGATGATTTATCGTAAATTTTTCGAGTTAAATTTCATTAAATAACCCTGATTGCATTGCCAATTTAACTATTACAAAAAGTTGCAAATTTAAGTCATATTATACAATAGAATCAGATAAATTAACTTGAGTAAAGTAGGCCAAACTTTTCAGGACGTTGAATTGATAAATACCACGTATAGGGAAACATAACGAAGAATAGCATCGTAATAAGCACTCTGGGATTAAAATGTTCTTGGGTAAAATCATGCTGAACTATTCAATCTTGACAGTAGGAATGTGTCAAAACAACATGAGGAAAGAAGCGAAGTTGGCAAGTTTGTGTACTGCAAAGAGTCAAGGTTGCGTGATACTATTAGCCGGCAGGAATTCACAAGGTGACATTCATGCGAATTGAACCGATAAGAATAAAAGTTGGAGTTTGAAAAATAAATATTAACGGGCTCAAAACAGCCAAATACTTTCCAATCTTTTCTTTCAAAGAAGAATTGCTGAAATCACAATTGTTTGGTGTTCTTCATGTCTCGCGAATTTGGCTGTTGGCGGTCCTCATCGGACCTGTTTGAGTGACTGCTTTTAAGCGTACACACTCTGCCGATATCGGTGTCCGATTCAGTCGGATTTGCAGACGATCAGAAAGTGTATTTTATAACAAAAAAAGTAAAAGATTTATTCGTATATAAAATTGAATCTTTTCTGAGACTTAATGTTGTGAAAACAACATCGTTATATTCCAATTATCTGTTCTGCCCATGCCAGGTGACCGTGTTAGCAGATGTCCCCGTAAACGAGGTGTCGGTCAACGCTAACGTTATATTTGTCACATGCTTTCTTATTAATTCCATGTGTAGGCATCGCTACCTAAACAGTGTGTATGTATTTACACCTGATCATTGTTAGACCATTTTGATTGACAGGTGGAAATATATCAGTTGTAGCTTGGTCACTGATATATCTGAAAATGATCATACAGGAGACGGGGTGACTCATGTCATTTTGACATATTTCTAGTTTTCATTTTCAAATTATGAATAACAATATCAGCTAAGGGATGCTATTCCTATATAAAGTGTACATTTAATTTTCAGCAGATATGACTATGGACAGAGGAAGGTGATCCCTATACAATAAAAAGATATTGATGCCCACCATTGGGGACTGGGCCTTACAGTGTTTTCCTTGACCATCCTGTCTAGATTCAGTATCATCGCTCTGGTGACTTGATTTCTGAATGAATTATGGTATATTTTTTTTCTAAAGTCAAGTATAGAAATAATTTAGATGAGCAGTTCCTGTTTCAGAATGCCTAGGTCACAGTTACATTTTATAAAGTTCTTATAGTGTTTGCCATGCCTGTCCTGTCTAGATTCAGCGTCATCGCTCCATTTACTTAATTTCTGAATGGATTTTATAGTTGATTTTGTACAAAAATCAAGTGTAAAACTTCTTTAGATGAGCAGTTCCTGTTTCAGAATACCAAGGTCACAGCTACAATTTATCAAGCTGAATTTATCAAAAATTGATCATGCAAGTACTAATTGTAACTGTTTCTGAAGACCCCAAAATTACCCTCAAAGTCATAGATAAAGCTAATCGAAGTCAATTTATCGTTCATAGCAGCATAGTATACCTATATACCAAATTAGATTGAAATCGCTCAATATCTAAATTTTGACCAGTCAAAGGCCACTGCAGCCATATTGGAGATTCAGCTGCCCAAGGTGTAATGTGTATGGCGATTTGTAAGAGTACTTGTTTAGAATCTTGTATACATAAGAGACTCGTCAGCAATCAGATTCTCTAATTTAAACTCAATCTGCTAACTATGCGTAATTTTAAGCTCATTTCCATACATTTTTTCCTTATGTACATAAATGTTTGAAGAGACAATGCAAACATTTGATAGTCTGTGCAGTATGTGGGCAAAGTGTGTTGTAAGATATTGGATTTGTCTTGCTATTTGAGCATGAAAGGTAGATGAGCTACACCATTAGTCTGCTATGATTTAGGTCATTACGGAAGCCCTGATGCCTCGGGCCACAACTCTGGTAGTTACCTGGCGGGCCAGGTGAGAGGCGTTCAAGTGTGACCAATGATGGAACTTATCATGTACATTTGTTTGTGAATGACAGCTCCATGCCGCAATCATTCAGGAAACTGCTTCACCTGGAGCTTACATGTGTGTAATATGTGTGGTTATTGAGAGTTTACTAGTCACATGTCCCATATGCTAAGTTATTAACAGGATAACACTATGTAAATGTTTAATTAGCAACCAAAACAATCATATCCTATTAAATCTTGGATCTATTGGTTGATGTGCATAGACTAGTGAGCAGGCTTGGTTACCTGGACAGATGATTTCTATTGGTTGAATTCAATGGTTTAGTGAGCTGGCTTGGTTACCTGGACAGGAGATTTGTATTGGTTGAATTCAATGGATTAGTGAGCAGTCTTTGTTACCTGGACAGGAGATTTCTATTGGTTGAATTCAATGGATTAGTGAGCAGTCTTTGTTACCTGGACAGGAGATTTCTATTGGTTGAATTCAATGGATTAGGGAGCTGGCTTGGTTACCTGGACAGGAGATTTCTATTGGTTGAATTCAATGGATTAGTGATCAGCAGGCTTGGTTACCTGGACAGAAGATTTCTAATGGTTGAATTCAATGGATTAGTGATCAGCAGGCTTGGTTACCTGGACAGATGATTTCTATTGGTTGAATTCAATGGATTAGTGAGCTGGCTTGGTTACCTGGACAGGAGATTTCTATTGGTTGAATTCAATGGATTAGTGAGCTGGCTTGGTAACTTTGACAAGAGATTTACATTGGTTAAATTATAGGGTCTAGTGAGCTGTTGAAGTGACTGGGATAGGAGATTTCTATTCGTCAATACTTTCCATGGTCTAATGAGCTGGTTAAATCACCTGGGCAGGAGATTGCTAGTGACTTAAGTCCACAAACTTGTGAGCTGTTGTGGGGTATCCACACAGGAAATTTCTGTTAGTAAAATTCCACGTACTAGTGAGCTGGCGTGGCTACCTGGACGGGAGCTGGACGACCTTGGTCAGGTCACAATCCAATGTCCAGTTGTGAATATGTGGATAGAGGTGACCGTGGTCCAGGCGATGTGCCCATCACACAAAGGTTGTATAAGAATAGCATTGTATAGCGATATGTGCTGTAAACAAACTTAAGATAAACTGTCATTTTCTACTGAATGTCCTGTCTTCTTTGACCATTTTGAGTGGCTATTTTATACACACTATTTTATTTTGGGTGTGGAGGTCGAGGCATATGGTGTTTGTTACTCATGTCTGTTCCATCCTGTCCCAATTCATTAATCCCTGGCCTCACAACGAAAGTTTGAGGGGATATAGGATTCTGCCCGTACGTATGTTACTGCACTATTTGTCATTGCTCTAGCGACTTCATTCCTCATGTAATTTCATGAAACCTCAAACAAGTGTTTTGTATGGCAATGCCTTGAAAAGGTTCTCCTTTCAGGTTTCTAAATTGAAGGTCAAGGTCACTGTTACTGTTTTTAGAAGAAGAAAAAATGTTATCGCTCTAGCAACTTTATTACTGAAGTGAATTTCATGAAACTTCATACAAGTGTTTGTTGCCTTTAATGTACACATATTATTGACTGAAATTCTATTAAACATTGTAACTTATCATTCATGGTATCCATATTCATTGTTATGACCGGAAGTGACACATAGAAATACCTGCAAATAGCGTTAACAAGACATGAGTAATGTGAAACTACATGTTTTTAGCTCACCTGGCCCAAAGGGCCAAGTGAGCTTATGCCATGGTGCGACGTCGGTCGTCCGTCCGGCGTCAATATTTTACTTAGAACAACTTCTTCTCAATAACCAAAAGGCCTAGGATGACGATATTTGGCCAGAAGCAAACTGGGATAAAGGGCTACCAAGTTTGTTAAAAAAATTACCTTCACCTATTTTCAATTATGCAAGGTCACAGGGGTCAAATATGTTAAAAACCTTTAAACAACTTCTTCTCAATAACCACAAAAACCTAGGATGATGCTGTTTGGCCAGTAGCATGTTGTGATGAAGGGCTACCAAGTTTGTTCTAATGAATGACCTTGACCCACTTTGAAAGTCACAGGGGTCAAATGTCTTAAAACTTCAAATGACTTCTTAATAACCAAAAGGCCCAGGGTACTGATATTGGGCCTGTAGCATGCTGGGATGAAGGGCTACCAAGTTTGTTCAAATGAATGACCTTGACCCACTATCAACCTTATGTCCTTGTTCGACATTCAAGGACACAGGCGTCATGTTTAAATCTTTTAATAGGTTCTTATGAATCAAACACTGATATTCTGCTTGTAGCTGTATTTTAGTCCACTATTAAGATTACAAGTGTGAGATTAATACCAGGTGAGCGATGCAGGCCCATTGGGCCTTTTTTTTACGTTGGGAGGCTTGCGATAAGAAACTGATTCATTAATAATTTGATAATTTACTTTTTACAATTGTATTTACAAGGTCACCCGACTGGCATTATTTCTAAAGGTTGCAGCCATATTTGCATATGAGGTCACAGCTGGTGTAAAAGGTCAAGACTTATGTCACAGTTGCTACAAAAGGTCAATCATATTAACAAATAAGGTCACTACAGGTGGTGTAGGTAGGGTCAAGGTCACAGATTGTCACTGATGTGGTCAATTCATAAGTCATCACAGACATTGTCAGCATCTCAAAGTCCCATCATCTCCAAAGATTTAATGTTTGGTATCAAATACTTGCTGTATATTTCTTTTTATCTTGATCTACCAGCTTGCCTTAATAATTTCCAAGCTGTAATACTAAATTTCAGAGTCCTAGTCTCATGCTGACCAATGCGTTCAAAATGCATATTTTGTATGAAATTGGTGACCAGGAACTTTCAGGTTCTTCTCAGTACCATTATACATGTTATGCTTGTAAGTAATCATAGGTTTGTAGGGATATTTCTTTCTTGTAAAATCTGGTGTGCATATTGGAAACTTATGATAATGATGTATTTCTAGGTGTGACTCTAATCCTTCATTCCATTGGGTCGTTCTCCCTGACATTCTGATGAGTTCTACAGGGTGATCAATTGTGAATAAATTGCTCGAAGGATATTTGGTGTGTTAAGGCTGAGCTTTGGAAGTCTCATACCTTGATGTCAATAGCAGAGGGAAGTAGTCGTGACGGTGGTGTGAGGTAGCCTGCAGATAGTGCTATATTGGTGATCAGAGTTTGTCACCTGGCTGCCGCCGACGGCCTGCCATCTGCTGTGCTAACACGGCTTGACCTCAGTACAGGTCATCATGCAAGCTATACACCATCATATTTAGACCAACTGGACAGAGCTACTAACAGACTGAATGAAAACAACTCTACAGTACCCAAACTGACCATCACATTAAGACCAACTTAACAATACCACAAACACTGACCATTGCATCTAAACCAACTTTACAGTACTCCAAAACTGACAATTGCACCTAGACAAACAATACGGGACCCAAACTTATCATTGCCTCTAGACCAACTATAAAGGACATGCTTCCCCAATGGGATGTGAAAAGGTATGGGTTACCTTATTCCCAACCACATATTTTTTATCAAAGATCTTCTGTTTCCTCCCTCATTAAAACCCCTTCACGCTAACATCCAGCTAACATCCAGCTAACATCCGGGCCAACAAGAGTGATTAATGTAAGTTGAAGTGACTTGTTTCATAACTGGTGTAAAATTTAAAAAAAAAAATTAAAAAAATTAGCAATCCAAACATACTAAACGTATTTCTACAGTACTAATACAAAAGCGTATATGATCAGTAATGGAGTGTAAAAACTAATGATGTATTGAAACATCCATAGAGCACATTCCTTCTCCTCCCAGTATAAGTGTAACACGGCAGTGACGACAAGTTTGTCTACTTTTAAAATTAACCTACATGTCCGGGAAGGCAGAAGTTGAGCATATTCAATCGCTATACTGATGTCATCATTGTAATTACTAATACTATCTATAAATAGTGGCATAATGTATTGCACAGCACAAGGTATGTGTATACATAAAGATATGTGTACGTATTGTGTTTGGAATTGAATCATGAATGGTGTGTATATGGCCAGAAGTGTATACCTGGTATATATTTATGTGTGTTTCTGATTTTTAACTTATCATATGTATACATGTATATATATTCTGCAAAGTGAAAGTCTACTAGATATGGGTGATGTTTCCTTACATATCACACAGTAGTGGATTGTACATCTGGCCCATGGTGTTGGGGTAAATGATATGGAAGCTGGGAGTTAACATATAAACCAGGTTAGGTACATGTTATTCCTTGATTTGACAACTAGTTTAAGTCCTTGATTAGACAAATGAGGATTACAAATCAAATGCATCACGTTATTCCTGCCTTCGATATCTCCACAGAGTTTACAACAAAAGGTACACAAATTATTTGATTTTAATGTTCACTTTTGATTTGTGATCACCAGTAGTACATTGTACAGAAGTATGTGGTACCAGCTGTTGGTGTAGCCCGAGGGTGTCACAAACATCAATACGGGCATTACACAAGCACTATACACACCTTTACACACAAGTGTCTTAGGTGACGTGATGACATATACACGCCTACACGTCTTAGGTAACATATAATTAACCTTTGAGACAATGTTTTCTGTTCTAATGGTATTTGTGTAACATGTGATGCATTGGAGATTACAGTATGTTGGTGTCTGGACGCCTGGTAACCAAGCTCATGGTTTCCTTTACTTACATTTTACTGCCTTGATAATAACTGTACAGTAACCGTGTATATCACTGCACGGTAACCTGTAACCTTTATCTTCCAGAGCCCAGTTGTTCAAAAGTTGGTTAGCTTAATCACAGTTTAACGACATTTTCCAACCTTTAATTATTCCGATAATATACAAGATAAAATCTCACAATTTTGCATGTAAATTCACTGTACTAAATATTTTATATCTGGAAAGTTGTAATTAATTCAATGGTTGTGTTTTAAAGATACACCAAAATCAAAATTTGCGCTGATCACTGATTAAGCTAATCACCTTTTGAACAACTAGGCCCAGATTAAATAAGTGATTAATAGGAGGATAGATTTGGCTCTAACGACAGAATTAGAAGGACTTTTGAAAAATAGACAAGAATTAAGGATTGATGTTTATATTTGTTATAATTTTCAGGAGCTGATCATTCCAAAAACTGGCGGGATGACATGAGGCCCTTAAGTCCACGTGACACCCGAGGAGGCTACGGGAACTATAATCGGAGAGGTGGACGAGGTGGAAGGGGAAGAGGAAGGGGCCGTGGAGGGGCCAGGAGTAGGGGTGTTGATTCCAACGTGGAAAACTTAACAGGTATTAGTACTATAAATCACGAGAAGTAGCAAACAGAGGCTGAGCCAGTATTTGGTAGAGTAATACCTGAACAGAAACTGAGGGAGCGACTTTTTTTGTAAACAGGGGCCAAGGATTGACTGATATTATAAACAGGAACTGAGATGGAACTGACAGGGTCATGATGAGTATAGGATCAGAGTTACTATAAATAGACAAGAGGTTAATCTACTTACACAAGTTAACAGACACGACTTTCCTGTGTATAGCTAATTATTGTTGGTAATCCACAAAGTTGTCTAGGATTTGTTTAACATTTTACATCTTCTTAATGATACCTCACTGCTCACAGAATAACACCACTACTATCTTAGATATCAATGACCATCAGTAGAAACGGCCACCACTACTCCAGATACCATTCAGTAGAAAAGGCCACCACTATTCGAGATAACATTCAAAGCAACACCACCACTATCTTAGATATCAATGACCATCAGTAGAAACCGCCACCACTTACTCATGATACCATTCAGAACAACACCACCACTATCTTAGATATCAATGACCATCAGTAGAAACCGCCACCACTTACTCCTGATACCATTCAGAACAACACCACCACTATCTTAGATACCAATGACCATCAGTAGAAACGCCCACCACTACTCCAGATACCATTCAGTAGAAAAGGCCACCCCTATTCGAGATAACATTCAAAGCAACACCACCCCTATCTTAGATATCAATGACCATCAGTAGAAACGACCACCACTACTCCAGATACCATTCAGTAGAAACGGCCACCACTATTCGAGATAACATTCAAAGCAACCCCACCACTATCTTAGATATCAATGACCATCAGTAGAAACCGCCACCACTTACTCATGATACCATTCAGAACAACACCACCACTATCTTAGTTATCAATGACAATCAGTAGAAACGGCCACCACTACTCCAGATACCATTCAGAATAACACCACCACTATCTTAGTTATCAATGACCATCAGTAGAAACAGCCACCACTACTCCAGATACCATTCAGAACAAGACCACCACTATCTTAGTTATCAATGACCATCAGTAGAAACGGCCACCACTTACTACAGATCCCATTCAGAACAACACCACCACTATCTTAGTTATCAATGACAATCAGTAGAAACGGCCACCACTACTCCAGATACCATGCAGTAGAAACGGCGACCACTACTCCAGATACCATTCAGTAGAAACGGCCATCACTATCTTAGATACCAATGACCATCAGTAGAACCGACCACCACTACTCCAGATACCATTCAGAACAACCCCACCACTATCTTAGTTATCAATGACCATCAGTAGAAACAGCCACCACTACTCCAGATACCATGCAGTAGAAACGGCGACCACTACTCCAGATACCATTCAGTAGAAACGGCCATCACTATCTTAGATACCAATGACCATCAGTAGAAACGGCCACCACTACTACAGATACCATGCAGTAGAAACGGCCACCACTACTCCAGATACCATGCAGTAGAAACGGCCACCACTACTCCAGATACCATGCAGTAGAAACGGCCACCACTACTCCAGATACCATTCAGTATAAAAGGCCACCACTATTCGAGATAACATTCAAAGCAACCCCACCACTATCTTAGATATCAATGACCATCAGCAGAAACGGCCACCACTACTCCAGATACCATTCAGAACAACACCACCACTATCTTAGATATCAATGACCATCAGTAGAAACCGCCACCACTTACTCCTGATACCATTCAGAACAACACCACCACTATCTTAGATACCAATGACCATCAGTAAAAACGACCACCACTACTCCAGATACCATTCAGTAGAAAAGGCCATCACTATCTTAGATACCAATGACCATCAGTAGAAACGCCCACCACTACTCCAGATACCATTCAGTAGAAACGGCCACCACTACTCCAGATACCATGCAGTAGAAACGGCCACCACTACTCCAGATACCATTCAGTAGAAACGGCCATCACTATCTTAGATACCAATGACCATCAGTAGAAACGGCCACCACTACTCCAGATACCATTCAGAACAACACCACCACTATCTTAGTTATCAATAACCATCAGTAGAAACGGCCACCACTACTCCAGATACCATTAGTAGAAACGGCCACCACTACTCCAGATACCATTCAGAATAACACCACTACTATCTTAGATACCAATGACCATCAGTAGAAACGGCCACCACTACTCCAGATACCATGCAGTAGAAACGGCCACCACTACTCCAGATACCATTCAGAACAACACCACCACTATCTTAGATACCAATAACCATCAGTAGAAACGGCCACCACTAGGAGTAGTGCAGCTCTTAAATCCAGAATTCCATAAGGTTTACCCACATCATTCCAGACACTATAACGATTAACAAACACCAATAAACCTAGATACCAACACAGCAAATGTATTGAGAAAATGTATAGAGGTTCATAAAGCATATCCAGTGAATTGTTTGTGTGACATTTCAGTGACAAGTACAACATGTACTTCGTCACCTTCTTCAGGCAGAAACATGTCACTTGTTGTGCTATATGAAACTTTATGCAATCGATACTAAGAAAATGTTTAGAAATAGTGAGAAAATGGTGTGTGTGATGACATTTTCATGTTTGTTAATATTAGTACAATACGTACTGTTTGATGACCTACACATGTCGCCCAGCTAGATACGCTTGTGTCTGATACACTTATGGATAAAGTGTTCACATATTATCATTAGAGTGCCACATCGAATAAAGGGGGGGG